CCACTTCTCTGTCCATCCTGAGGCCGAGTCCCACATACAGCAACTAGAAGGGTGTACAGCTATGACATACAACTATCTACTGGGGCTTTGGGGGCAAAAAATAAAATAAATAAAATCTTTAGAGGAAGATGGGCACGGATGTTAGCCCAGGGCCAGGCTTCCTCAGCAAAAAAGAGGAGGATTGGTATCGGATGTTAGCTCAGGGTTGGTCTTCCTCACAAAAAAAAAAAAAAAAACGAAGAGGAATGTTTAAATGTTGCATTCATGTCCCTGCCACATGCCAGCTATGAGTGACGTTACAGTGATCACCAGTGAGTCTTGCTCCAGCAGAAACGTGGTCCCAAATCCCCCAGTCTGAGCTCTGGGACACGAGGATGTAATTAGAAGAGTGCCTTGAGGCTGTACAGTGGGAAGACGATGCTGGGGTTGGTTGCTCAGTCATTCAACATACATTTGTTCAGTGTCTGCTCCAAGGCAGGCCTGTGCTTTTAAGCACCATGGGGAGAGGCAGAGAGGAAATAGGCTGCCCCACCCCAGCAGAGGGAGGCTCTTGCCAGCTGTTGGCTGTCTCACTGGGGCGTAGCTCCACGCCTGCACAGGCCTTGCATCCTAATGCTCCATTGGTGTCTGCCTCCCTCGAGAGACCGCACTCCGGGCCCTCTGCTTCTCAGACAGTGCTGCCGTGGGTTCCTGACCGCGTGAACACCTCCCGTCTCAGTGGATGGGTTGGGTGTTTTCCCAGTTCAGGAGGCTGAAGCTCAGGGTGGTTAAGTGGTTTGCTGAAGCCCACATGTCTGGAACGTGGATGTGGTCCCAGCTCTCCTGCCTGCAGGCCCAGCGTGTATCCCCTGGGGTGGCTTTGAAGAGACTTGCAGTTGGCCTGCAGAGTCTCAGGGTCAGTTTGGGGCGGCCCGCTGTCCTGCTGCCCTTAGGGATGTTTCCTTCTGCCTCTCTGCTCATCTGCAAAATCATTGAATTCAGTTAAGTTCAACAAATCTCTTGAAATAAAAGGAAATATAATTTAATACCACTTAACTTAAAAAAGAAAAAGGAAAGACAAACCATCTTTCAAGCCCGGGGTGGGAAGGAGCCAGCTGCAGTGTGTGGGGAAGACCACGGAGTCAGTGGACCGTGGGTGCTCATGGGGCCACTGGGGCCTGGCCCCCAAAAGCAGTGTGGACCTGAGACTGACTGAGAGTGTCCAGGGTGAGGGGCTTCCTCTGTCCTGCTCAGCCCATTGCTGGAGTCACAGGTTGATTCTAGAAGTCCTAGTTAAGAGGTTCCCTGACCAGTTGGTTCACATTCCAAGGATAGACCCAACCATGGTGAGAGGACTCAGAAGCAGGCCACAGATCAAGGTCAGCTGGGTCCAGGGAAGGGGAGCTTGTGCCCTGAGTGGGGGAACACGGCGTGACTGCAGTGCCGTCTGCCACCCTGCGAGGGCTGCCTGGGCCAAAGGGGGCCTGAGAGGAAGGAGCCAGGTTTCAGCTCCGCTCAAACCAGACCTTCCTGACGGGGCAGCTCTGCACCCCCAGCATTGATGGGGCCTCTTGCCTGGGACGTTGAGGGCATCGGGGTGGCCACCGAGCGTCCTCTCAGCTCTGAGGCTCTTCATCCCTGAAATGAATTGACAGAGGCTGGCCGGAAGCCCTGGGAGCGGAGCAACTCGGTGGAGAAACCCGTGTCCTCGTTACTGTCCAGGTGAGCTGCCCTGGGAAGGCCTGAGCCGCGAGTCCAGTGGGGCCAAGGCGGGTGACAGCGTCAATTCACATGTCTGTTTCATTCCATTGCCGTAGAACCCCGTCTGTGGCAAAGAGCCCCGAAGCTAAGAGCCCCCTTCAGTCGCAGCCTCACTCTAGGTACCGAACAACCCCATCTCTGGGGCCTCCTTTGTCCCCTGCCCGTGACTAACACCCCCGGACCCCGGCCCAAGTCCTGTCATCTAACAGTTTGCTCTGGGGAAGGGGGATCTGTTCTTCTCTCAGCCCTGGGGAAAGGTAGGGCTGGGGGCACTTCAGGGACAGTGTGGGCCGCTCCTTCCTCTCGTCTCAGAGGGAGAGACTGAGGCCTGGGGAGGGGCGTGACCCATCCAAAGAGGCTGTGAAGTGGAGCTGAGATGGAATCCCAGCTCTAGACTCACGAATTGTGTCACTGGGCAAGCCAGGTGACCTCTCCAAGCCTCCACCCCACCCTCTAAGAAGGTCTGTTAATCCCTGCCTCACAGAACAGTTGTGTGGACAACAGCTGGACGCAGGAAGTGCTCACTGGCCATAGCTGCATCTCACAGTTCGACTGATCCTGGGACTGTCCCAGCACCCTGCCTCCCCTCCTTCCTCTGCACACAGCACACAGAGCCAGTTTTCCCCAGAGATACACTGACCATATTTCCCAAACCAAAAGCTGGTGTGGTAACAGGATGGGATGTTTGAAACTGAGGTTGCCCAAAAAGTCAGAGACAAACAGATACATAGTAACCGTAGGCCAAGTGTGGCCTGAATTTGCAGGCCTCCAGAACCCGTACTAAGCAATGCTCACCACAAATTGAAAGGAAACAGCTCTTATCACAGAGCAGGTGGCATCTGAGCCTGGTCTTGCAAAGTGAAACAAGGTGATGAGCAGAGAGAGCTCTGGCCTGGCCCTGGCAGGAATGGTGATGGCAGACGCGGGTGGACAGGGATGAGGAGGTCTTGGCAGTCAGCCAGGATTTGTCGAGGGCCTGTGGTCAGCCAAGGTCTGAGATGGGTCCTGCAGGTCCCTGCCTGCAAGGAGCTCATTTTTCTGTTGGAAAGGCCCATAGATTAGACAGCGTGGGTTCTAAGAGGTCACTATGTCTTCTGGAGAAGACATAGTGGGTCACATGGTAGACAGTGCCAGGGACAGAGGTGCTTTAGCGTGGGGGCTGGGGCAGGCCTCTCTCAGAAGTGGCGTCTGCGCTGACCGGGATGAGGAGGAGCCTGACCTGCAGTGATTGCGGGGACGGCTTCCCAAGCTGAAGGAATGTAAGTGCTGAGGCCCTGAGCCTGTAACCACCTGGCAAGTTCCAAGAAGAGAAAGCAGGCCAGTGTGGCTGGAGAGTGGTAGAGGGGGAGGGTAGAGGAAGGTGAGTTTAGAGAGATAGGAAGGAGTCACGTGATTTGGGTTTATCTGTGTGTAGGGCCCAGTCCATGAGCTTTATGTACAGGGTGCCATGATGGATGAGGGCTTTGGGCAGGTTGCTCTGGCTGTGAAGGGGGGGTGGACCGGAGTGGGACAGGAGCAAAAATGGGGCCCCGGAGGAGGCAAGGTGGCTGGGGCTGAGCCTGCAGCTCTCTTGACACTTCCTGCTGGTGGAGTAAGATGGGCTGGCAAGTTCTGAGTGGCCAAGCGTCCCTCACAGAGCAAGAACATTGTCAAGGGCATTCCCACTCGGAATGGGGCTCTCCAACTCGGAGACAATCTGTTCTCTGGTTTCACAGATGGCTCCAAAGGGGGCGTGTCGCAACAGTCCCTCTCAGGCAGTGGCCTTGCAGAGCTCACAGAGCGTGTGGGGGTTACCATCGGGTGTGCAGAGGGTGAGAACTTAGGCCAGAGAGGGGAAGCAGTTTGCCCAGGTGACCCAGAAGACCGCCGCTGGAACAGGGTCTCAAACCGACAGGACGTATGTGACCGACCCGGGGGCCTTGCGCTGGCCCTCTCTCCCCATCGGGACCCAAAATTACTTACAGACTTGTTCAGGACCATGTTTTGCCTCTTGAGTTCACCCAGGAGGGATGCCGGGAGCACTTCATTGTTCTTGTCTTTTTTATCCAAGTTTGTGCACTGAACAACTAACATTATATAGCACTCGACGTGGTTTTTTCCAGCTTTATTGAGATATAATTGACATCTACTGTTGTGTAAGTTTAAGGTGTACAACATGGTGATTGGATAATGTATATATTGTGAAATGATGGCCACAATAAGGTTACTTAACACACCCATCACCTCACATAGTTACATTTTTTTGTATGTCTGTGGTGAGAGCTTTCAAGATCTACTTTCTCAGCTACTTTCAAGTCCACAGTACAGTATAGTTACCTCTAGTCCCCATGCTGTGCACCACACCCCCCAAACTCATTCATCTTATTGCGGGAAGTGTGCACCCTTTGGCCACCTTGCCCCATTTCCCCGACCCTCTAGCCCCTGGCAGCTGCGAGGCTACTCTATTTCTATGAGTATGGCTTTTTTAGATTCCACATATAAGTGAGATCATGTGGTATTTGTCTTTCTCTGTCTGGCTTATTTCAATTAGCCTAATGCCCTCAAGGTCCACCCATGTTGTCACAAGCAGCAGGATTTCCTTCTTTCTCATGGCTGAGTACTATTCTATCATATGTCTGCACCACATCTTCTTTATCCATTCATCCATCTGTGGACACTCAGGTTGTTTCTGTACCTTGGCTGTTGTGAATAATGCTGCAGTGAACATGGGGTGGGCAGGTGTCTCTTCAGGATAGTGATTTCATCTCCTTCAGATATATACCCAGGAGTAGGGTTGCTGGCTCCTGTGGGAGTTCTGTTTTTAATTTTTTTGAGGAAGCTCCACACCGTTTTCTGCTCTGGCTGCACCAGCATGTTGGTGTTCATGCTTATTCTCCTTAGCTGTGGAAAGCGGTCCCCGATTTCACCAGATGGTCCTAATCTGTACCATGACCCCTTGCGGCCGTGCCGTCCCTGCCAGGTCAGTGTGTGTCCGCCAGCCGTCACATCCAGAGTCCCTGTCACTGGCTCGGTTCACGTCATTTCCCTAACCCACAGGCTCCAGGCGTTCTCTCCATGTGGGCAGAGAAACTAGATCCAGAAAGCGTGCCCTTCAGCACCGTGGTCCTGTTTTAAAAGGCCAGGTGGTTAAACTAGCATTTTGCAAAGATTTTCCAGGGATGATTCATGTGCAAGAGACATTAAATTTCAAACCAGCTAACCTTAGTTTAGAAGCTTTTCGAAGAAGTACAGTCTTCCGTGAAACTGAAACCTTTGCCTCAAAAGAGCAAAACCACAGCAAGGATGTTTCCTGAAGACGCGGTTACGCACGATAGCCGCTTACCAGCCCCAGGACACTGGTTGTGTTGGAAGTGGGTGCCTTGAGGATGAGTCTTTACTGTACGATTGTTGCAATTTCGCTTTGTATGTAATGTCATTATTCCTGCTGTTCCCCAAGGCTCAGTTTAGCCGGGAACGTAGACCCCACAGAGGAGTAGCTTATCGACATTGTCTTTCCGGGGGAGGCAGCATGTGACGGGTAACGCTGTCTGCTCGCATTGCCACATCTGTGAGAGCTCCCAAGTCAGAAAATGGTTCCCCTGTTGGACCCCAAGTCTTGACTCTTGGGTTGGGAAATATGGTCACAGTATCCTTGAGACCCTCTTGAGGTAGAGTCAGGGCATTAGAGTCCTTTTCAAGTAGCTGAAGAGTGGCCGGAGGTCAAAGCAGGAAGCATTTGAAGGATGAAGGGAAGGGGCCAGTGCCTGGCCCCTGAGCAGGGAGGCCCTGGTGCACCCTGCTTGCCTTCCCTTGCTCAGCCCTCCAGCGTGACGGGTGCCTGCAGGCTCCGCCGCCCACTTTACGGCACTCTGCCGTCCTCTCCCCAGGATGAAGCCGGCGGGGAGTGTGAATGACATGGCCCTAGATGCCTTAGATTTGGACCGGATGAAACAGGTGAGCGTGACCTTTCCTGAGAGGCTGTGAAGGAGCCAGAGGCTGGGGACAGTCTCAGGTCCGCATGGGCAGACAGGCCCAGTGGGGCCCACGTGGCTGCCAGAAGTCAGTCAGGGAACCAGAAGTGGAGGAAGGGGCCGGCCCTGTGGCTTGGTGGTTAAGTGCGCGCGCTGCGATGCTGGTGGCCCGGGTTCGGATCCCGGGTGTGCATCGAGGCACCACTTCTCCGTCCATCCTGAGGCCGAGTCCCACATACAGCAACTAGAAAGATGTGCAGCTATGACATACAACTATCTACTGGGGCTTTGGGGGGAAAAAATAAAAAAAATAAATAAAATCTTTAAAAAAAAAAAAAAAAGAAGTGGAGGAAGGGAGTGCCCACGTGCAGCATTCGTCCCCAGCTCCTGCCACCATCAGGACACAGGTTCCCTCTGCCCTTCTGGGCACTCCCAGCCTCCTGTGGGGCTGTCTCCTCCAGGGCCTCCCTTGGTTTCTCCAGAGTGTGCCTGAGGTGTGGGAGTCAGCAGGACCTGCCAGAGGTCCCATCCCCATTTCACACTCCCTCCTTCCCCTGGCTTGGGGCATGGGTGAGGGTGACGGCCGAGATTCCAGAGGGAGGCCCAGGGTGCCCCTACCCCTGCGGACACACAACCCCCAGCAAGACCAGCTCCCCCTCTCTGCTGCCAACAGGAGATCCTCGAGGAGGTGGTCCGAGAGCTTCACAAAGTAAAGGAGGAGATCATCGACGGTGAGTGGAGGGCCCTCCCTGGGGCCGGGGCTGCACCGGGGATCCTTGAGAGAGGCCAGAGCTGCTGTCACCTGGGGCTGCCAAGCATGGAGCCAGGATGGGCCAGCAAGCCTGCGGTTTTGTCCTTAGGAGGTGTCCTTCTCCCTCCTGATGCCCATTGCTCATTGAGTAACTGAGGCTCAGACAAGTTAAGTGACTTGCCTAAGCATACGCACATAAATCTGCACATAAATCTGAGATCTTCCCTCCCTGTGTGGCTTCCCGGGGAGGAGCCGTGGTGAGTGCCCGGAAGGGAGAGGGACCCGAGAGTGCATTCCAAAGCCAGGAGCAGCCACCGCAGCCTGAGTGATCTGTTCTTTGTTTATTTCAGTGTCTGTGGACTTAGATTACCACCTCCCATCACTGGGTTTGGGGTTATGAGGGCAACTGCTGCCTTCCCGGGGATTTAGAGGGACCAAGAAGCCACAGAACGGCCTTTGGGCCTGACCTGGTTCACAGCCTGCTTGGCCCTGGGCTAGGGGAGCAGCCTCTGGCTCCAGAGGGCAGGGGCTCAGACGTCACAGTGAATCACATCCGTCCTTCCGGTTCCCACCAGAGCCTTTGATGCGCAGGCTCAGATCCAGAGCCAGAGGAAAAGGAAAGGTTTGGGCAGGTCTGGCTCAGCCCCGGGACAGGGCGTTGAGGCGCAGCCTGAGCCACCCACCCCCTACCCAAACAGAGGCAGGGGATGAGGTCACAGCTAGGGTGGGCAGGTGGGCCTGGCCCCCAGGGCATCAGAGGTGACCTGGGAAAGAGAGGGTTCCATGAACTCAAAGCAGTGGGCGCTGGCATCAGAGGGCTGCTTGGACTCTGGAGAGAGAGAGGAGGCCGGAGGGGAGCCTGCCTGGGATACCCACAGACCCAGACCCCCTACCCAGAGCTGGGTGACCAGGCTACCCCCATCCTTGTCCCAGCAGAGAGAACTTGGTTCCTGTTTGTCCAGTCCCCCTACAGGCCCAGGCTGGGCAGATAAGGAGTTAATGAATGAAGAGAGTGAGACAGAGCCGGAGCCAAAAAGGAGTCACAGAGGCCAACTATTAACTCTGCTTTATTGCTGGTGCCCCCACCTAGGAGGGCTGCCTGTGGCCAGAGCTGGTGTGGGGCCAGCAGCTCGGCTGCCCAGCCAGCCTGTCTGCCGAGGGATGGAGGCAGTGGCGGGGGTGGGAAACATGTCTCCGGGCCTCAGTGTCCCCTTCACCACAAATGGAAGCTGCCTGGCGGGCAGGCGGCGGAGCGGGCCATGGGAAAGCATGGGCAAGCGGGGGCCCCGAAAAACATCCCCTCGTGACTTGAGCCCTCAGCTTTCTCCTGACCTTTGGCTCCAAGCCCAGTGGGGTCTCTCTGGGGAAAGGCCCAAATTTGGGGGAGCACCCTGAGGGGTGGGGACAGGAGGAAGCTGGGAAGAAGAGCAGGAGAAGCCCCTGGCCCTCCCTGGAGGGGAAGGAGCTCAGGGCAGGGCAGGACAGGAGCCGTCCACCACGCTCAAGGCCAGGGACTTCCTGCTGTCACGTCAGGGGAGGGGCTCCCGGGTCCTCCAGGCGGAACCGGGTTGCCCATCTGTCCAGGGCTCCTGGTGCCCACCGGCCCCTCACCAGCTCCGAAGCTGTGGGCAGGTCACACCCCCCCAGCCTCAGGTCATCCTCTAACAGGGAGGGGGCAGCACCGCCCTTGAGGGATTGCCAGCTCAGGAAATGGTAGATGAGACCCACAGGGGCTTTGCTGTCACCCCAAGAACTGGGGTGGGAGCCTGCGTGGGACTCTCAGGAGACAGAGCTGGGCAGACACCAGGAAGGACCTCACCAGGGGTGTAGGGACAGGGCCCTGTGGAGGAGCACGCTGGGCTTGTGCCCCTGCACCTGAGCGTTCCTCTCCTGTCCTGTCCCTCAGCCATCAGGCAGGAGCTGAGTGGGATCAGCACCTCGTAGTGCGCCTGGCCCCTGCCGCTGCCCGAGACGCCGGTCCACCTGACGGCGGGGGACAGCGAGGAACCCGGCCGGCCCCAGGCCTTCAGCACACACAAGCACGCACCGAAGCTAGGATGTGCTTCGTTGAAAGATCTTAACCTGTGATAAAATATTAAAATGAGGAAAAAAGTTTAATTCCTGGATTTTTTAGATTCTACCTGACACAGAACACCAGGTCTACTTTTTTTGTATTTTATATTTGCCTATTTAAGTGTACATTTCTTTTGGTTTATAGAGAAGACACCCCCAAATCACACTTCATTAGATGGTTTCCAGGTTTTCTCCTAGATGACGCTGTTAGCACCTTGGCTGGCAGTGGCGAGCTGTCCACACACAGCTCCGTCCCCACATCACAGTGTGAGGGTCTGTCCACGCCCCGCGGTGTCTGTGTCCACGTGGTAATAAACGCTTACTGTCCACACCCCGGCTCCGGCTCTCACTCTCACGCCGGCTCTTGGTCGCTCCTGGCTGCGGATGCCCCTTTCTGGGGAAGGGCCCACGACAGTGGTGGGCGGGAATAGTAGGAGCAAGACAGGATCTTGGGTGGGTGGCTGGGCTGAATTCAGACATGGGGAAGGACGGGGAGGGCGACCGGGGCAGCTCAGGCACTGCCAGCCCGGGGTCCTCAGGTCCTGCATCGGGGAGCCACCCCCTATGGCCTCCCCCAGGGAGATGGGCCCTGAGTGGCGCCCATGCCTGGAACGTCTAAGGGACTCCATGTGGGTTCTGAGCAGCAGGGAGGATGTGCCTCTTCAACCACCCACTGCACAGATGGGGGAACTGCATCTCTGGCTCAGCCAGCCGTACAGAAATGGAAGGCATCCTTTGCCTTCTGCTCTGCCCCACAAAGCCTCCTTCTGCATCCTCCACATCTCCACGACAGCAGGGGCGCCCCCATGCCCACCCGAGTCACTTCTCAGACCATGCCAGTTCCCCATCATAGCCAAAGAGGGTCTGATTCTTGGCCTCGGCCACTGCTATCCCGGGCCAGGACCGAGGCCCCAGCCCGTGGGTGGGCCTTGAAATCCTGTGACCATCCCACAGCCACCATGGACACAGCAGTGTGCCCAGCCGTCCTCTGGGGGCCATGAGGGGAGGAGGCACAGCCCCCCATCTGGCTGATGACAAGGGGACTACTGTTTTCTGGCCTGGCTGTGGACATACTTCATCTCACTGAGTGCTCTCAACCGACCGAAAAAACAGAAAAAGGATTGTTCCGCCAGTAGGAGGTGAGCCACCCGAGGCTCAGATCTCTGGGTGGCTTGCCCCAGGTCCAGTGGTGGTTTTAACTCAGAGCTGGCAGGTTCCACAGTTCCGAGAGCTGCTCTCTCCTCTGCCTTCCACCTCCCAAGGTCCAGGAACCCTGCAGTCTCAGGGCCTGGGTGGGGGGGAGCTGGCAGGTGGTGACAGGGCGTTCTCCTCCCCCTGGGCTGCAGCCTCTGGAGAGCTCTGCCGGGCCCCTGCCCTGGGCCGGCCTCTGGCTTGTCGGTGAGGCTTGGACCTGCCCCTCTGCCCTGTCTGCAGATAAGCACACTGGCAGACACGGAGGAGCTGGGATCTCGGGCTCCCAGGGGCCCGCGCTGGCTTGTGTGCACAAGGAGGGGCTGCCTGCCCAAGCTCAAAGTACTCCCAGGCCGAACTGCGCCTCCCTCACACAGCAGCCTGGGGTTCAGAGGCCTCTTCCCCAGACCATCTCAGTGATCAGACCATTCGGAGACAGGGGCGCCTGGCACCACAGGAGGCCACTCCCAGGCCAGGGCAGGAAGTCCTTGCTCAGCACCTGCCAGGTCTCAGGCACTGGGCGGGCAGAGGATGCAATGTGCCTGCCTTCCAGCCCTCCCTCTCCTGGGTAGAAGACAGCCCCAGCCACGCCCGCCCCTGGGGGATGGTTTGCCGCCCCAGCCTTAGGGCACAGGGGCTGCCTTTCCCCAGGGCTGCTGTGGGAGCTGCAGGGCCTCACCCACACACTTTCCTCTGGCAGGGAGGCCCGACCCCCGCACCTCTCCTGCTTACAGCCGGCCTGCCTGCCTCTGGGAGACCAGGACCCCACCCCACCCCAGTACAGCCCCCTAGGGCCACGGGGCTGACTAGAAGGATGCCTCCCTAGGCCTCACTGTGCCATCAGCCTGCTTCCCTCGGAGCTGTAGTTCACTTGGGCAGTCACCTGTCTGTCCAGCCACCTGTCTACCCGCCATCTGTCTGGCCTGTGGCACCCATTCTGTTAGACTCTCCTCAAGTCCCATGTCTGAGCTGGTGGAGGAAGCAGACCCTGGTATCAAGCTCGAATCTTCTCAGGGCTCAGGAAAGGCTTCTTGCAGGGTTGAGGGCTGAAGGTGGGGCAGGAGCAGGCGACATGGACTGAGAGGAGGCGGTGGAGAGGGGGCAAGGCTGGTAATGAGGGGCTTCGGGGCCACATGGACCTCGAGGGCACGCAGGAGCCCTCTGCTGTCTATATCCCTAGAGGCC